AGGAGACAGAGGCAGATGGATCTCTGTGAGTTCCAGGCCAGCCCAATCTATAGAGTAAGTTCCAGGGCAGCCAGAACTGATATACAGAGAAACCCTGAAAAAATACCAAAAAAATATATACATACCCCCGAAACAAAGAAGCAAAGGGAGTCTGGAATGAAATTCTCCTAGGACAAAGTGTGGCACAAATGAAAAAGTATCTGAAGAAAGCATAGAAATGCTACCTGAGGAATTTTGAGCCTTCCTAAGGTTTCTAATAACACTCACCATCAGAGAGAAGTGGGTTAGATGAAGTTGGCTGGAGCTTTGTGGTAGGACATTTGCTTTCCACATATGATTCCTTAGGTTCAATGCAGTCCTGCTGAAAATGGGGTGGGGTGGGTGGGTGGGAAATCCAAGGCTACTCAAGGTCCCCAAACTCATGTGCCTGTTCATCTCAGCTTTCAGATCTCTGCCACTACTGTTGCCACTGACTAATATATTATGCCTTCCTCTCTTCCAGCTTTCCTTACTTGTTCCTTAGGGTTGGCTTAGGCACTGGCTCCTCCAGGAATGCCTCCTTCATCCAAGTGTGGGTCCAGTGTCTCTTCTGTGGGGTTCCATGACTCCCTCAACACTTAGTAGTGTCTGCTATTTATCCTTATCTTCATTCCTCTCCCCATTCCTGGAGTCTCAGCTGCTTGCAGACACAAGGCATTCCTTTGAGCCTAGAGACCCCTAGCAAGTGATGAATGACTTAAGCGAGGGGGTGGCATGTTCCTAACCCACCACACAGGACTCAAGACACGAGGGGCTACAAACCCTCTTGCTTTGTCCCAAGATCTTCTGTGCTATACCTCCCTGCACAAGCAAAGTAGAGCTGGGCAGAACTGGTCTGAAGTGTGCTCAGCTGTGGCCTCCCCCCTCAAATCTCCCCAATTCAGCCAGTTCCTCTTCCCAGTTCCTCTCTGGGAGTAAATCAACCCGCTTCCAACTAAAACCTTAGACGCGATAATAGGAGGAAAAAAAAAATAAGTAAGAGTCGAGAGTTGGACAATTGGTGGCAACGAGATGAACATGGATTAATGATGTTAACCTCGTCCTGGCCTTCTCAGCCTGGGCTGGGGAAGGTTCATGGTTGATACCCATTAAAGGGCTTAATGAAATAATTATAATTCACACCCCAGAGCATCAAAGAATCAATACTGGGGAACTCTGAGCCACTCTGGGGGTGGCACCCCACTGTCTTCACAGTTCAGCTCAGCAGGCAGAGTCAGTAGAAGGAAATGCAGTTGACAGGAAAGTTGCATTAAAAGAGGGCAATAATAGATTAAAAGCTGCCGGGATCCTGGTGACTGGATGTCAATATCCTTTATTCCCTGCCTTGCCCCAATTCTGCCCCCTCCATGCACTATTAGTCCAAATCGATAGGCTGTCAATTGACATCACCAGCTACAGCATTAATGCGAGCTCACAAAGGGAGCACGGCCTTATATTATCACTTCTCTAGCTTCCAAATTACCATCTAAATGCAGGCCGCGGGCAGCTTGTGACATGTTAACACTATACACGATTTGTTGGGATTGGTCTAAACATTTCATAGCTATAGATTTCATCATAGACTTGATCACAGAAATAAACTTCCATCCACAGGGAAATTACTAGAAATAATAGAATTAGGCAGTTTGGAATTCCAGAGGGACAATGGAGGGATGATGGAGGAAAAGGTCTCCAGCTGATGGCCTGCTGTGGAGACAGCACTGGTCAAAGGCTACGGTGAAAGGCATTTCACTTGCTCTCAAAAGAACAGGTATTTGAATTTGTCCTAGGTTCATTCTCTATTTTTACACAAGAACTGGGGAGAAGATTCTTTCCCCCATGGCAACCAGAAATATGATGGCTGGTGGTTGAACTGCCGTTTAATCCTAATCCCAGAACTTCAGAGAGTGACTTTCCAAATTTGAAAAGTTGGGTCCTTACAGAGTTGCCTAGAAAGTGAATGTTTAGGGTTGTGCTTCTCAAAAGCTAAATTTACACATTGACAAGCACAGTATGACAGGCGCAAGTGACGGGAATGACTGGATAGTCAGGAGATTCCCCTCCCTGGCAAGTATGACTCTTGCCCAAATGCTGACTCAGACTTCCAGTCTCTATCTGGAGACAATAAATCTGTTGTTTTAAGCTATGTGTCTGGTGATTTTTATAACATCCTTAGGAAATAGTTTACTCATAACTAATGACAGCCCCATTTACTGAGTCCCCTCCCAAGTCAGCTGCAGGAGCTCCATGTTTTGCATACTGGCTCACTCCTGATGATCCTAAGGTCGAGTACTTAACCTTCACTTCTCAGGCAGTTCCAGAAAAGTCATTTGCTCAGCATTGCACACCTTTACAGGTCACATCAGGTCTCTGCACAGAACAGGAGAAATACTAAACCAACCGAAGGAAAAAAAAACAAAAACAAAAAAATCCTTCTGTTCAACTTTCCAAGGTTCAATTAGCTTCTTACTTGTAATTGGCCTTCTTTTCAAGTCTTGTATCTCCTGAGTGGAAGCTATTTGAATTAAGTCCCATTGCAAATATAAATCCAAACATGGCATACCACTACAGCCTCACACTTGCATTCCTTTTGCATCTCCCTAAGTACTGGACTACCTTCCCTACCTAGCCTTAGGTAATTGTAAATAGAGAAACACTCATTTCTGGCCCTTCTCCATCATTCCAATACTTTAACAGTTCCCTCACATTCCCCCTTACAGGGGGACATATTTAACTTGGTGTTAAATGTTAATCACAAAAGACTACTGTTATGTACTTCCATGTCTGCAAAATGTTCAAAATAGATAGCTAAGGGAATATGGAACTAAGAAACTAATTAGTTTTGTTGACTAAATTGTTTTACGTCATTCTGTGAACATGACAAAATAGAGCCAATCAATCAATCAATAAATCAATAAATAAATAAATAAAACAGATGGTATATTAACTGTTAAAACTGTTGTCTTGGGCTGAAGAGATGGCTCAGTGGTTAAGAACACTAGCTGATTTTCCAGAGGTCCGGAGTTCAATCCCCAGCAATCACATGATGGCTGATGACCATTTGTAATAAGACCTGAACTGGTGCCCTCTTCCTGTATGCAGGCATACATGCAAACAGAACACTATACATTAATAAACTAAAAAAATCTTGTAGCCAAGGTTGACCTTGAACTCACTATACAACTACAGATGATGCAGAACTTCTGATCTTTGTCTCCAACCTCCCAAGTGCTATACTACAGCCATGTGATTTGGTGCTAGGAGTGAATCCTATTGGGCAAGCATTACCACCTGAGCCTCAGTTGCCAGCATGTTCTTTCCAAAGATCAGCTCACAAGTGAGTTTACGGTCAAGGTCACTGAGCTTTTGCTTCCTCTACCCACCTTGTTTCTATACTCTCTCTAGTATACCTCCATTCACACTCAATTCTGTACTCCATCCCTAGCAAGGTACTTGCTCATTGTGCTTGGACAGGAAATATGGACGTTTGGGGCTGGCTCAGTCCATCATTAACCTGTCCTTTGTCATGCAACATGTGAAAACAAGCAAAAAGCACCCAATGAAATTGTTCCTGTTGGGTAGTCATGTCTTTAATCTCAACACTCAGGAGGCAAATAGGCAGACCTGAGTTTGAGGGAAGCTTGGTCTACAGAATTCCAGGACAGCTACGCAAAGAAATCATGCTTTGAAAACCCAAGAAAAAAATATTCTGTCAGTTGCTTTATTAATTACTGCCATCTGCTGGACAAAAATGCCTTTAAATCAGTATGCAGAAAACCATCTGAAACAGGTTTTGCCACCCATAGCTCTATTCCAGTCAGAACTAAGACTCTTCCTATAAGCCTAGAACTTAGCACTACATTTAAACTGCAGTACTCACGAATTTTATTGCTTTAGGAAACTGAAAAACGTGGTAATAAAAACACATCATAGTTAAATTTTAACTAGTCTGGTATGGTAGTGAATGTCGGTGACCAGAGTGCTTCCAGGCAAAATTCAGATCAGCTATGACTAAGGTGATATGCTGAACTCTTGAAACAGCCAATTACTTTCCTTGTAAATTAGACTTAAGGATCAAAACGAAATAGCAATGGGAATGATATCACTAAGAACACCCTCTGTCCTCAGTGATTTTGTTTTCCCCAGAAACTACAATGCCCACATGAAAGATTCCCAGTCTGGAAATCCTGGCCTCATATATCCATATACAAATTGAAATATTTAATAACCAGAACACCAAAGCACCAGGCTGTTTCAGGTAAACATTGGAACTAAGCACCAATTATATAAAATTTTAAGTAGTTCCCAAATATCTGAAGATGCATGTGGTCTGTGTTCCACTGACAACAAAACTATATAAATTTACCTTTTCCTAGCATACAGGAAGAATTCTAGAACATAGGAAGTCTCCTGGTTCAATCCAACTGGCATTAGGTAAACTACATACCTGTAACCCCATCCCTAAGCTTTTATACCAATGGGCCAGACTTTGTGGCACTAGTCTAGAAACTGCTATTCCCACTATCAAAGATCAAGTTGCTTTGCTGTGTGCACTAGTGAGCATCTTACTGTACCAGTAAGCAAAGGCTGGCCACTAGGTGGCAGCTCAAGCCTGAAGTTATATAAAACTATTGTTTAGATGTGGATGGAGGGCACCAAGGTGACTTACACCCTGGGATTTATAACCATTGGCCTAGAGATTACCAAGCACCACCCCCAACTAGCATAGAATACTCTACCCTGTCAGCTTCATCTGTTGGTTCTTTCCATTAAGATATCTAGTATATGCAAAGCTGCATGGTCTTAAAATTCCCACCAGCCCAAGGGTTAAAACTAAACTGAAAAAGCCCACTGGAAGGCACTAGAATTGTACTAGGTAGGGCGGCATAGCGCTCATCCCAGCATTTGGGAATTGGTTCCATGTCAGTCTCATGAACAGCATAACTGTCTCAAAAATCACAAGTCAGGACAACTGTATAGTGCCAATTTAAATAGTTTTATTAGACATTCCATTTTCCACCTTATTAGACACTGCATTTTCCATTTAGGATACAGTGCTTATAAAGTGCAATGTTTATTTTATCTGCACATGTTCCATGTTCAAAGTATTTTGAACATGCCCAGTAATTGTAGCAGTTTAAATTTAAAAACTGCCAAGAAACTTTGCTAAATTTGGGTCCTTCAAATGTTTCCCTGTGGAACAATGCTACACTTCTACTTGGACTGATTTAATCCACCTCTTCAATGGTAGGCCCTGAAGAAGCACCACCAGATGGAGGAGCTCCACCACCAGGGAAGCCCCCAGGCATTCCTCCAGGCATGCCACCAGCACTCTGGTACAGCTTGGTAATGATGGGGTTGCAGACTTTCTCCAGTTCTTTCTGCTGGTGTTCAAATTCTTCCTTCTCTGCAGTCTGAGTAGAGAAAAACCAAATTACTAAAGGTCTGCAAAACAGTTAACTCTGTTGTACTGTAAGGCTGCAATTTATTCTCCATTAACATGAACCCATTCCTTTGCTTTAGAGTCACTCAGACATCCAAGGAAGGTAACTGCCAACACTGCTTTATATTCTGGTGGAAACCGCGAATGTTTGGACCATTCATCACAGTGACCCCTAATTTAGTCCAGTTGTACTCAAACATCTTATTGGCAACACAACACCTACCTGATTCTTATCCAGCCAACTGATGATTTCATTACACTTATCTAGAATCTTCTGTTTGTCCTCATCATTGATCTTTCCTTGAAGTTTCTCATCTTCAACTGTTGCTTTCATGTTGAAAGCATAGGACTCCAGTGAATTCTTGGAGGAAACCTTATCTCTCTGCTTCTCATCTTCAGCTTTGTACTTCTCAGCTTCCTGGACCATGCGTTCAATATCCTCCTTGCTCAAGCGGCCTGTTAAGTCACAAAATCAAGAACACGATTTAGAAACTAAAGTCAGAACTTGAGAGATATATATATTTATCAGAAGAAAGTAGTGTCCATACTTACCCTTGTCATTGGTGATGGTGATCTTGTTCTCCTTGCCTGTGCTCTTATCTACAGCAGAGACATTGAGGATACCATTGGCATCAATGTCAAAAGTGACTTCAATCTGAGGAACACCACGAGGTGCTGGAGGGATGCCTGTAAGTTCAAACTTCCCAAGCAGGTTGTTATCCTTGGTCATGGCCCTTTCACCTTCATAGACCTTGAGGGAAAGACACAGTAAGACATCAGACTTAACAGTTCTATAGCTCAATTAATAAGCAAGCTCAGGGGAAGAATTCAATCGCTCAGACATCCAAGGAAGGAACTAGCCAACACAGCATTTCTGGTGGAAACTACGAATGGTTTTGGAATCCATCATCACAGCGATACCTCCTTCCCTGGAATTTCTATACAAAGACAGATCTCTAACCTACCTGAATGAGCACACCGGGCTGATTGTCAGAGTAGGTAGTGAAAGTCTGCGTCTGCTTCGTAGGAATGGTGGTATTACGCTTGATGAGGACAGTCATGACTCCACCAGCAGTCTCAATACCAAGGGAAAGAGGAGTGACATCCAAGAGCAGCAAATCCTGAACATTCTCAGACTTGTCTCCAGACAGAATGGCTGCCTGGACAGCTACAAAAGGAAAAGAAATGTTATATAAACAACTCACTACCAAATCCAGTCACTTCAATGCAGTTCATTCGCTCAGACATCCAAGGAAGGAACTAGCCAACACAGCATTTCTGGTGGAAACTACGAATGGTTTTGGAATCCATCATCATAGCGAATGATATTTGAGGGCCCTCTTTAAAGAGGAATTTTGGAACTGCAAAAAGGCAAGTATGTAGGTGGAGGGGTCTTATCTTACCTGCACCATAAGCAACAGCTTCATCGGGGTTAATGCTCTTATTCAGTTCTTTTCCATTGAAGAAGTCTTGCAGGAGCTTCTGAATCTTGGGGATTCTGGTAGAGCCACCAACCAGGACAATGTCATGGATCTGTGACTTATCTAGCTTAGCATCTCGAAGGGCCTTTTCTACAGGGTCCAGGGTGCCTCTGAACAGGTCAGCATTTAATTCTTCAAATCGAGCACGGGTAATGGAGGTATAGAAATCGATTCCCTCATAGAGAGAATCAATCTCAATACTGGCCTGGGTGCTTGAGGAGAGGGTGCGCTTTGCCCGTTCACAGGCAGTACGCAGACGCCTGACAGCTCTCTTGTTCTCACTGATGTCCTTCTTGTGCTTTCTCTTAAACTCAGCAATGAAATGGTTGACCATTCTGTTATCAAAGTCTTCTCCACCCAAGTGGGTGTCTCCAGCTGTTGATTTGACTTCAAAAATTCCATCCTCAATAGTGAGGATTGACACATCAAAAGTACCACCTCCCAAATCAAAAATCAGCACATTCCTTTCAGCGCCAACCTGTCATTGAAAAAATACTTCAGCTCAAAATCTCTGGTGTGCAAATTAACATTAAGGTAAACATGTACTACTTCAGACACATACCTTCTTATCTAGCCCATAAGCAATAGCAGCTGCAGTTGGTTCATTGATAATTCGAAGCACATTGAGGCCAGCGATGGTTCCCGCATCTTTTGTTGCCTGTCGCTGTGAATCGTTGAAGTAGGCTGGCACTGTGACCACAGCATTAGTAACAGTCTAGAAAACACAATTTGCACAATTGTTAGCAAATTCGTGCATTAAAACATTATGAGGAAAAAGCCAGCCCAGATTGACATTATTTAAAACCCACCTTGCCGAGATATGCTTCTGCAATTTCCTTCATTTTAGTCAGAACCATAGAGGACACCTCCTCTGGGTAGAAACTCTTTGCCTCTCCCTTGTACTCTACTTGGACCTTGGGCCTGCCAGCATCGTTCACCACCATGAAGGGCCAGTGCTTCATATCAGACTGAACAACAGCATCATCAAACCTACGCCCGATTAGACGTTTGGCATCTGAAAAACAAATGCGTTTCATTGTATTCCACAAGGATTGTGATTTTCTAATTATAAACTGTACTTCAGCATACTAAGAGGAGTAGGGAAAGCTGACATCCAGGCAGGCTGTGGCTAACTCTGGAGCAGGAGAGGAATGACCCATATTTTTTTGTTGTGAGCCTAGCCTTTAACGGGTGAACCATCTCTCCAGCCTGAATGGCCCTTACACGATATAAATACTGCCAGTTTTACCAGTCGCAACGTTAATTTCTTAAGCTGCAGCTTTTTAAAAAGCTAGCCCACATAAAAACTATAGCTACTCACCGAAAACTGTGTTCGTGGGGTTCATTGCAACCTGATTCTTTGCAGCATCCCCAATTAATCGTTCTGTGTCGGTAAAAGCAACATAGCTTGGCGTGGTTCTGTTACCCTGGTCATTGGCAATTATCTCCACCTTTCCGTGCTGGAAGACACCCACGCATGAGTAGGTGGTGCCAAGATCAATACCAACGGCAGGTCCCTTAGACATGGTTGCTGAAAGAAAAACGGGAACACGAAAACGGCTAAGCAGCTATCGCGCGGCTTCCAGACTGCAATCGCTATGGTCTCATCACCTAAGGCCACGCGGAAGGCTCAGGGCAGCACTGCTGCAGCCCGGTGGCCGTGCCAAACGTGACAGAGCCCGCCCCTGGCTGAAGGAACCATCTGTCCTGAAGGTCTGCGACAATGGCTGAGCACGTGGCCTCAACTCCGAGCGCCCAACCCCACCCCCGCCAGGGCCGCGTACTGCGGGCACCTCCAGACTTGCCCGCTACTGAGCTATTCCCAGCGGCTAACCCCCCCCCCGGGGCCACCGTCAGAAACGCTGTCGTCTAATCCGCAGACAGAGTAGAGAGCAGCCCGAGCCGCTGCGGCACACCCCTCCCCCGCCACACGGAGCCTCGCGGCCATGGCGGCGCCGCCCTGCCTAAGCCCATCCTCCTCGGCTGCAGCCCGCATTCCCGGAGAGGGCGGCCTAGGCCGCGCCCGCCTCCGCCGCCTCCCCGCCCCGCCGCCCTCTGCAGTGAGCCCGTCACCCACCGCCAACTAAAACCCCAGGCCTCACCTTGCTGGTAGGCCCGGCTGTGCTGGCAACAAGAGCGCACAAACGCCGCAGTCTGCCTCCGCGTTCAATGAGACCGGTTTCCGCCCGCCTCACTGTCTCTTATACCTTGTCTCAGAACCTTCCAGAAGGATCCCGCCCAGTCCCGCTGCCTATCATGGCCCCTTAGCCAATGGACGGTGGGGCCATTCTGACTGCACCAATCAACAACCAGATCGCTGCCTTAGGGCCCGCCCCCGCCCCGCCCCGCCCGGCGATGACGCACGGCCGCAGCGTTCTGGAACTTTCATGCTCGCCCCCGCTCTCCGAACGGCCCGGGGGGGAAAGGGAAGGGCGGGGCGCAGGGAGCCCGCGCGCGGGAGTCCTCTGTCACTCATCGCCGTGGGGGGAGGGGACCGAGTCGGCGGAGTGTACGCATGCGCGCCCAGTCAGCGCGAGCGGGAGGGGGCGGAAGGAAGCAAGCGAAGGGAGGCGGGTGCATTCGCAGCGGACCAATGAGAGCGGTGTTCTCCGCCATGTGGTCCCCTGGGGACCCTGGGCCGCGGGAGAGAAGAGCCTGAGGGAGGGGGAGTCGGGGGAAGAGAAGACGGAAGTGGGGCGAGGACAAAATGGCGGCGAAGGTTGTCGCGCCCCTCCCCCACCCGGCCCTCCGTCCCTTCTCCCTCAGCCCGGCGGGCTAGCGGCCTCAGGCTGCGCGCACCCACGGTGTCTGAGCCCGAGACTTAGTGGGCACCGCGAGGGTAGCAGCTCCTGGTGCCCGGCTTGGAGATGGCCCGGCCGCCGCGCGGCCTCTCAACCCGCAGCCGCCAGTGCGGAGGCCTGGCGTGCCTGGCTTGTACAGGTCCCCACGATGCTCGGTCGTGACCCTCAGGGAAAGAAATGGCCTTGTCTTCCTGACTGACCCCACAGCCGAGCGCCCCTCCCCACCTCCGGACTAGGACAGCGTGGCTTCCGTCCCCTCCCTGCCCCCACCCCGACCTCTCACTTTGTGGGGAAAACTGTGGCAAAGGGTATATTTCTTCTACCCCTGAGGGCGAGCTAGGCATTGGCAATCCTCATTTCCGGCAGCCCTATGTCCTTGATGCAACGATCTCGACCTTTTATTTTCAGGAGCATGAGGTAATGTCTCCCCTGACTTGACTTTTACCAAAAATTAAACGCTCGACCGCACAGAGTCCTTGAAAACGTGACAATGCTTGGACTATGAAACTGCAAAGCATGGAGGCAGGGCATTCGTTCTGGGGCCTTGTCACTAAGCCCGTCTCTCCAGTACGTTCCACGTGTCCTTTCAAAAGGGCAGGGCAGCTATTTGTTAGGTTGTTTTTTAAAAGAATACCGTAGCGACTTTTACTTACGGTGTTTGAATTGGAAGCTCTCCAGACCACGCGAGAAAGGCAATCAGAAGACTGGGGAGGCTTTGTCCTCATCAAAGCCACTAATTACTGAGACAGTCGTAAAGGAATAGTTCTTTTTTCTGTATTTGTGCCTTGGAGTTTCTGGAGGGATGTACTTTTTGTTACTGTTCCAAAAGATCGTTTTAATACTTTTTTCATGTAAATGTAAAAGGTACTTTACATGTAAAATGCATACTTCTTAACGGCTTTTCTAATACCCCCATATTAGAACGTAAGGCACAAACTCATCTTAGATCCCCCCCCCCTCCGCTTTTTTTTTTTTTTTAAGCTACGGTGTAACTGGGTGTGGTGACTCACACTTTTTCAGTCACCACTTAGGAAGTGGAGTACCTAAAGTTCTGCTAGAGCCAGGTTGGACCGTGAGCCTGTCAATCAATTTGTAAATAAAGGTTTAAAAATGAGGAGCCTGACTCTGTTTCACGAGTGTACTTTCTGGGAGGCCGGGGTGGTGAGCACCTGTGACCCTAGCTACTACAGAGGCTGAAACAGAAAGAAAGGCCTGCCTGGACTAGAGAGAGAGTAAAGGTGAGCCAGAGCACCTTAGTGCAACTCTTTCTCAAAATAAGAAATAAAAGCGAGGCCAGATAGGAAGATAGTAAATCCTGAGGATGGGAGAGAGCAGAGAAGACAGAAACTGCCCCTCACCTAGGAATCCACACCTTGGGCCTATGGAAAAACAGGAACTGCAGCTAAATTAACAACTGCTTAATCTCCTCCCTTTCCAGGAATCTCACTAGTAGCCCCATTCACAGGGGGAAAAAAAAGAAAACTTTTGTTAAGCCCCTGGTACGATCCTGGTGGCTCCAGACTTCATCTTATCAGGTGACAATTCCAGCCAAGGCAGCACTGGAGCCAACCTATAATCTCAGTTATCAAAAGAGAGAAGGAGGGGTGGGGGAGGGAGCCGGGAACTGGACCTGCGCTACCTCAGCCTTGTCCAAGCAGCTTCCCTCTGGAGTGAATGGTCCTTAACGCAGACTCAAGGCTGATCAAACTGCTAAGAACAAGCAACTCTTTTTCTTTTTGTTTTGTTGTTTCTTTGTTTTTGTTTCTGTTTTTTCGAGACAGGGATTCTCTGTGTAGCTTTGGAGCCTGTCCTGGCACTTGCCCTGTAGACCAGGCTGGCCTAGAACTCAGAGATCCTCCTGCCTCTGCCTGCCTCTGCCTGCCTCTGAAAGGTGTGTGCCACCGATGCCCAGCTAGAACAAGCGAGTCTTGAGTCTTAAAGGTTCTCACTCTTAAAGGAACCTCACAACATCACCAAGGCTCGGGAAACAAGGAAAGATGAGGTGGAGAGAAGAAAGAGGCTATGAAGGGACAGAGGATTATGGGATGCTTCCAGGCATGACATGTGGCACTCTTGGGGTCTGCTCAAGCCCGATCCTCTAAATAGTCAGTCATAGATGGGGAGGGGCTCAAGGGCCCTGCCTCACCCAGGAGCGAACGGTTTGAAGATTGCTGGTGGAGAGGAAGTGTTTAGTGGGCAACCACTGTTGATTCAAGCCCTGCTCCAGTGGATAACTCCACACTTTGCCCACAAAGGCAGCCTTGGTTATGTCTGGTGAATCCCAAAGTACAAGCAAAAGACGTAAAAGTGGGATGGGGATCTTTTTTGGGGGGAAAGGGGTGCGTAGACAGTTTCTGTATGAAACAGTCCTTCCTATCCAGGAACTCACTCTGTAGACCAGGCGGCCTTGAACTCACAGAGATCTGCCTGCCTCTGCCTCTGCCTCTGCCTCTGCCTCCTGCGGGACCAAAGGCATCCACCATCACCACCCAGTGGGATGGAGACCTTTTAAAAAAGATTTATTTTTATTACTGTGTCTTGTGTGAATATATGTCACCTGTGTGTGGGTGCCCATGGAAGCCAGAAGAGCCTGAAATTAGAGTTCTATTAGGTGGAGGTGAGCCTGCTGACAGTGTACTGGGAACTGAATTCCAGGCTTCCAGAAGAGCAGCAAACACTCTTAACCAATGAACCATCTAGCCAGCCCAGAATGGGATTTGTTGAATGAGAGATCAATGGGGGAGGGGGCTGGCAAGGAGATAAGGGTGGGTGAGGGAGCCTCTGCTTTGCCATCTCCTGTCATGCTGAGCCTACTGAGGAGTTGCCATGAGCAAGGCCCACCCTCCCAAACTGAAGAGATGTATGGACAAGAAGTTATTATTGAAGTTAAATGGTGGCAGACACGTACAAGGAATACTACGGAACTTTGATCCCTTTATGAGTCTTGTGACTGATGAGTGTGTGGCATCTAGTGGGCAACAGAATAACATCAGAATGTTATCATTCAAGGAAACAGCATCATGTATGAAGCTGTTCAGCACAGGAGTTCACGGCTCTCCCCTAAGGGCCTGTTCCACTGTGGTGTAGAATTTGGGTCATGTTTTCATATGAAACTTTGCAAAGTAAACTCTTTTGATACTCAAAGGGGGGCAGGGCATGAAGGGACCAGTGTGACCAGAATTCATTTATATATATATATATATATATATATATATATATATATATATATATATCTGTGGCTTTCTGGCCTAGTGAGAGTTAAGTTCCAGGCTCAAGGGGTTAGGTTATGATACTCGATACCCTCCTCTGAGCTCATAAAGCTTACAGGCACACACTGCTGCATATGACACACCATACAAGCACACATGCACAATTTTTAGATAGCAGAACACTTAACCTCAGCTTCTGGTTGCTCAAACAGTGTTCTAGGATTTGAACTGTGGTTTGGCTTATTTATTTATTTATTTATTTATTTATTTATTTATTTATTGTGTATGCAGTGTTCTGTTTACATGTATGCAAAAGAGGGTGCCAGATCTTATTACAGATGTTGTGAGTCACTGTGTGGTTTCTGAGAATCGAACTCAGGACCTCTGGAGGAGAAGCCAATGCCCTTAACTGTTGAGCCATCTCTCCAGCCCTGAACTGTGTTTTCACTATTAAAAGCACAAAGAGCTAGCTGGAAGGCTTAGTGGGTAAAGTGCTTGCCATACACGCACGGATGTGTGAGTTTGATTCTTAGAAGGAAGAAAGGGCAAACTGATCCTACAAAGGGGCACCCTGACCTCTGTAAGCACACCATGGCATGAGTGTCCCCTCCCCTGCAAAAAATAAAATTAAGACAAAATACAAGCAGAAAGTAAATGTTGTTTCTTTGCTTCTAGCCACTCAAGGTTTCCACTGCAAACTTACTTACTTATTCAAGATCTGAAATTAACCAAGCATTGTGATGCAGTCCTACCACCCCAGCAGACAGGAAAACCCATAGTTCTAGGCCAACTTGAGCTACACACTGAGACTGTAAAAAACAAAACAAAACAAAAACAGCAGGGTGCTTGTACACACCTGTAATCCCAGTAATCAGGAGGCAGAGGTCTAAGGATCATTTCAAGTCTGAGGCCAACCAAATCCACACAGTGAGACCCTCGGTCCTAGTTCACTTCCTTTTACTATGACCAAAAGCAGCACAGGAGGAAAGGGTGTGTTTCCTTATGTGGCTGTAGCCTGTCAACCAGAAGAAACTCAAGGCAGGAACCTGGAGTTAGGACTGAAGCAGAGACCAGAGGAACACTGCTTACTGTCTTGCTCTCTGTGGCTTGCTTGGTATTTTTGTTTTTCTGATTTTTTTTTTTTTTTTTTTTTTTTTTTTTTTGTGTGTGTGTGTGTGTGTGTGTGTGTGTGTATATAGAATCCAGGATGACCTGCCCAGGGGTGATACCACAACCACAATGGTCTGGGACCTCT